CGTGCATAAATTTTGTGCACCAGGCCTCTAGTTCTTGTCATAAACCCCATTCCCAGCCTAATGCCACACAATTGGGAGAGAACCATCACCTCCCAGCTTCTCCCTGAGCATCTAAGGGTTTGGATCCCACATCTAATACCCCAACTTTTAAGACTTCCACTTGAGAGACAGGCTCCCAAAACACCTATCTCTGAAAACCAGTGGCACTTGCATCCATGAGACCCACAAGACTATAGCAAACAATGAAGCAGTTATTAATGGATATGAGCACTAGCTGTGGCTGTCCCGCAGGGCTCAGTGCAGAGGAAGTAGGCAGAAATGCTCACTTCCCAGTCTTTCCCTGAAAGGATTCTATTAGCATACTTCAATTCTGCCTGAGGGTCAGGCTTCTAAATTAGTAAGCATTTAGGGGCTGGCTGCAATCCTTCTTGGAGACCAGGGAAGCTGGTGGACACCTCCTTTCCCTCTCTCTCTAGCCCTATCCAAGTTGCCAGAGTCTCCCTGGAAGAATCTAGTATACACACCTGGCGCCTCAGCTCTTCAACCCCTTCCACCCCCCAAAAAGAAGAAGACAGAACACTTCTACTAGTTTTACAAGGCCAGAATTACCCTGGTACCAACACTAAAGACACCACAAGAAAATAAAATTATGTATTCCCGATGAACATAGATATAAAAATTATCAATAAAATCTTAGCAAACTGAATTCAATAGTACATTAAAAGGATCAGACACAGCTATCAAATGGGACTTACTCCAGGGATGCAAGGATGGTTCAATACCTGCAAATCAATGTGATATACAACATTAACAAAACAATGATAAAAATCATATAATCTCAGTAGATGGCAAAAAAACTTTGACACAATTCAACATACTTTCATGATGAACATTGTCAACAAAGCAGCTTTAGAGGGAACATAACTCAACATAATAAAGGCCATATATAACACACTAATAGCTAACATCATACTTAATGGTGAAAAACTAAAAGCTTTCCCTCTAAGGTCAGGAATAAGATAAGAATGCCCACTCTCACTACGCTTATTCAATATAGTATAAAAATCTTAGCTAGAGCAATTAGGAAAGATAAATAAGTAAAAGGCACCCAAACCAGGAAAAAAAAGTAAAATTATTACCTTTTGCAGATGGCATGATATTATATATGGAAAACCCTAAAGACCACCAAAAATGGTTGGAACTAATAAATGAATTAAGTAAAGTTGGAACTAATAAATGAATTAAGTAGAGTAATTCTTTATGTACAAATAGCAATATATAGAAATCAGCTGCATTTCTATACACTAACAATAATGTCAGAAAGAGAAATTAAGAAAAAAGTGGATTTACAATAGCATAAAAAAAATCCTTAGGAATAACTTAGACCAAGGAGGGAAAGGATCTGTTCAGTGAAAACTATATGACATTTGATGAAATAAAT